ATGAAAATCATGAAATAATATTTATTTTTAATTAATAATATTAAATAAATTATATTCATCATTTATTTTTTTTATGTACCATAAATATTAATTAATTTATTTATTATTTATAATAAATGATTTAATTTAAGCTCAATAATTTATAAATGTAAAATAATAATATGAATTTAATATATAAATTATAAATATAAATTATATATAAATATATAACATAAATTAATAATAATTTATATTAAACTTGTTAATTGATATGTAAGTTAAATTTTTGTTAAATTTGAATTAAATTTAAAGATTGAATACATTTAAATTTAAAATTACATAAGATATTAGTAATGTGTGAATTCAATTTATTTTTTAATAAAAAGTTTATTTTATTTTATGATTTGTATGTCATCTAAATTTTATTTATTATGTCATCTGGTTTGACCCCGGTTCAACCGGTCGAACCGATCAAACCATGAACCGCTCCTTTTACCGATTCATTGTCCGGTCCGATTTTCACAACCTTGGTATTAATAAGGCATATAAGTGTAATTCCAAAAAACAAGGTGGAGGTATTTGTAATGTTGACTTTCTATAGGGTTGATAAGTGTAATTAACCCAAATAAATACTATACTATCTTACGATAAGATGATGGAACTTGCACAGGATAAGAAGTTATTAATCTTTTAGGATATACTTTTAAGAGAGGTAAATTGTAGTATTTTCCTTCAGCTAACCCCCCCTTTAATAAGGGAAAGAGGGAAAATGATCAAAATGGTCCATTGACTCTTGATGAAAGAGAAAAATAGTCCCCAATTATATTAAAGGACCATTTTGGTCCTTCAACTCTTTAAAGAAAAAAATCAAAATACTCCTATCATGGGACTATTTTGGTTCTTTTTAAAAGATTTGAGGGAACAAAATATTTCTTTAATATAGTTGAGGATTATTTTGGTACTTCATAAAGAGTTAAAGAACCATTTTGATCATTTTCTCATAATCGAAAAATTACCATTGATCATAATTTTCAAAACAAAACTTAACATACCAAATTGAAGATATGCCTTCCGCAAATCATCCTTTCTATCACGCCTAGCTAAGAAACCTACAGATTCTAACAACCTTAACAACTTGGCCAGGATCTTTCATCCTCATAATCATGGACACTTCTATATATATTTTTTTCACTAGAAATCTTTTGCCATTAACTGTTTTGAATGACCAAGACAAAGTGGTTAGCGCTCAAATGATGAGGGAAAACAAGGCTAGTGTGTTTGGCCATTTTTTGTACTAGACGGGTGCATATAACTGGTTAAAGAAGGCAGGCTAAAGTCATTTGGTAGGGATTATCCATCTAGGTCAAGCTGTTTTGCATTTTCACATAACTGAGCTGTACTGCTTGCATTTTTAAGATTCAAATAATTTTAAATTTTTATTAGTGTTGTTCATTGCCTCAAGCAGATTCAAGAATTTTTCCTGGACCCTTTGTTGTGGTCGAGGTTTCACCGAATAATGAGGTGATTTTTCACTTTTTGCTTATATGATGATACTTAGCAATCTATAATATATTATTGTTATTTCTATCATCTTCTAAAGATTACAATTTGGAATTTTGTAGGAAGGATTGTCAGTTATTATTTCCCCTTTGCTTAGATTACGAAATGAAAGTGGATTCCCTATGGAATTGTTGTTCCGGCGGCCAGAAGAAGCCAAAACAGAATCTGCTTCTATTTTGCTTGAGGACGGAAATTCAGTTGATGCTTCTAGGGCTGTGTTTGATGCATTAGATTTTTATGGTGGCTCTAAGAGGACATTGATGTCTTTAAGTCTTGGTAAGTGCAGGTCCTTGCTATTTTTATATGGTATCTTGCAAGTAGCTAAATGAGATCCTTGTCTTTCTCAACTTGTGCATTTGTGATGCATTCATCATCTGCAATTACTGTGCATTTGTGATGCGTTCATCATCTGCTAAATATAGAACCCAACTCTTACAAAGATGCATCTAAAATATATCAGTACCCTTTGGAATGGTTAACACAGGTGCCAATGTCAAGCACTTATTTATCCTCTAAAAGCTCTGTTCACACTCAGTCGGCCATTCAAATTTCAAAGCAATATGAGAAAATCATTTCACAAATCGTCTTTAGTAATATGCTAAGCTATGAAAACTTTTGATTTCTATTACACAGATGGTTCTTGGCCATTTAGCAATCACTTTTACCTTTTCACGGTCTATTGTTATGACTTCACCACTCATAATATCCCAAAATTTTATTTCTTTTTAACCAAAACTCACATTTGAAAAACTTAGCAATCAACTTATGTTCTCTCTGCAAACTATCCTCAAATGATTGACATGCTTTTCCTCAGTCTTGGAATACACCAATATATCATCATTAAAAAGTATCATAAATTGATCCAGATAAGATCTGAAAATTATGTTCATCATATCCATAAAAATTTTTGGGGCATTTGTTAATCCAAACGACATAACCAAAAATTCAAAATGTACATACATGGTGTCAAGTGCTGTCTTCTTATTGTCACTTTCTTTTACCATGACTTAATGATAACTGGACCTTAGGCCATGAAATGACACGTCGAGGGAGAGGGGGTTGGCACAAGAGGTTGAGTGAACAAGAGAGGTCAATAGATATTCTGATGAGAGAGAGAGATAATCGGTGCAAGAGAGAGAAATCAAAAGAGAGTCAGTGAGAGAGAGAGAGAGAGATAATAAGAGGGGTGAGGGTGTTATGTGCTACACCAACCCTACTTGTAATGGTGGACGCGAGATGCAATAGAGAGGAGACCGTAAATCATCTATATTATACTATATTACATTTCAATACAAATCCTGTCATCCAATTGCAGATAAATTAATTTGATCTTTGTATATATATATATATATATATACATATATAATGCCATTTAGTAATTATGGCTTTTAAAATTAGTTTTTTGTCACAACTCAATCCCTGGTTGTACCCTTGGCCCTTGCTTTCAAAAAGTTTATGAATTAACCTTGTACAAGGATGTATTGAAAATTTATTGTTTGCAAAATTATCCGTAATTCGTGTTTTTTGGCATTGGGATCTATCTTCACCTGAATTTTATTCATCAATCTTTCTGGGATGATATTCCTTACCTTGTTTTATTTTCTCCTATTTTTTCACTTGAAGGAAAGTTTGTTATATTTTTTCTTCAACTGCTGGAAGTAGACTTAAGATTAGCATCTATTGTAGTGATATGCATGCATATTTATTGATAGCATGCCATTCCCAATAAAAGCAAGCTGGGCAGTTTGTTGGTTCTGGAAAATTGGCAGAATTTTAGATTTACTTGTTTTTATTCATGCTACACCTAGCGATTTCTTTTATCGTTGTTCTATATCCTTCTGTGTTTGAATTGCCAGGAAAATTCCTACTTTCTTTGAGACCTCGAATAGCTGATTACACAGAAAACAATGAAAAAAATATTTCTTTGCTCTGGTCCGAAGAAATTGAAGGTGGAAAAGCTCTGCATATCTCTGGAATATTTGATAAATTAAATTATAGATTCAGAAAAGCTTTAGGTGTTAAATCATCAAAATCTTTCTTTAGTACATTGTCTTGCCCTATTACCATGGAAGACCAGCACATTTCTGATCTGCATTTTCTAATACGGACAATTCGAAGAGATGTACCGTTAATGCAGCCTCAAAATCTTGGCGATCAAAAAGAGGGTCGTTCCTCACCAGTTGCTATGCAAGTACAAAAAGAAATTTTCATATATCCCACAATTCAAGTTTATAATCTCTTACAGTCAGAGATATTTGTTTTTTTATCTGATGATCATCCAGGTGAAATGCTTAATTTGGAGCAACTTCGATGTTTTAGATTTTTTTTTGTCTTTTTGTGCTTGAACTTCCACTTCTTTTGCAGATAAGTGTATCATGGAGGAGTTTCCCTATATCGGGAGGCAGGCTACCATTCCATGCCAGTCAAGTGCATATTTCTATGCAAATCCAGTTAATATATATTTCAGAATCACCTTAAATGCATATAGCTCTACAAGCAAACCAGTTAATAGTGGTGCCTGGGTTAAGAAGTTGGAAAAAAGGCGGAATGATGTACACTTTATCGACATAGAGTTAGATTTTGCCTGTGGAGCATATTTTGCAGTCTTACGATTATCATGCTCAGACAGGGGACTGTTAGAGGTATTTTGAAGACAAACAATCGATCTATAGCACAACAATATAAACAGAAAAATTGATTTGCTATCTTTTCATTATATTTTTCAATGTTTCTATTTAAAGATTCTCATATAGTTTGTTCTGCTGTAGTATAAAAAATTTACTTCTGATACAAGCCTGTTAATTTCCTTTCCAACTGTTTTTTCTTTTGCAGGCGACTATTTTTACAGCATACTCACTTCAAAATAATTCTGAACTTACATTGTTTTGCTCTTCTTCCAGCCAGAAATCTCATCCAAGGTAATATTGATTAAGTTTTTACATGAAAATCCGTCTTGATTCTCAAATGGCCTATTTGAACACTCGCAGGGTACAAACTGAAACTGAAATGCACTCTTCTGATATCCCACCTGAATCCGGCTGTCTTTTACCTCCTAAATCAATCAAATCATGGTTTTTCAAGTAAGTATCTTGCTGATAATTTTTTTCGGATTCAGCAGATTTTCAATAAGGTGGTTGTTTCCTTTAATAGTCTCAGAGATTGTAGTCCTCAACACTATACCTGTTGCATTTGGTATGTTCATAATAGGTCAAATAAGGTGTATGTTAAATGGTTGGAAGAGAAAACATCTATGAAAATGCTTGACCTAGATACTTTGACTGGCTTCACGGAGCTTTCACTGGAAGTTGCAGATAATGCTGGGATTAAAGTTGCTAAGCTAGGGGTTTCGCTTCAGCCATGTGTCCATAAAGTTTGTGTCCCAACACAAGTGGTTTCTTTTGTGCCTAGATTTATTATAGCAAATGAATCAAAAGAGTCTATTGTGGTTCGACAATGCCATCTACAGGTTCCAGCTCTTATAAACATGATTTTAAGTAATTTTCTCTTATAACATACGAGTACTTAAATCTTTGTGTTGCAACTTGCAACTGTTCTGATTAGGATGCATTCATTGAAGAGACTGTTGTGGAGAGTAGACAGAGAGTGCTGCTGCTTATAAGGAAGAAAACAGGCAAAAGAAGGGAACATAACCTCTTTGACTCTGTACTAAAGAGACACGCTGATAGAAGTGAGAATACGCAAATCTTTGTCCAGTTCTACATTAAAGCTGTTGGATGTACTAGCCCTAGCTGGTCTGGCCCTATTTGTATTGCTTCACTTGGTCGATTCTTCTTGAAATTCAAGGGGTGTTCTGTGAATTCAAGTAGTTCAACGAATCCAAGTAATTTGCGAGAAAACAAGACAACGCAATTTGCTGTGGCCCATATTGTAGAAGAAAGATCTAGTTTAATTTTGTACTTCTATATGCCACCAGATATACCACTTCCATACCGGATTGAGAATCTTTTGCAAGGAGCATCTATTAAGTACTATCAAAAGGTCCTATTTGCTTATTTCATATAAAGACTAGGAAAGAGAAATAGGCCCCAATGTGAATGCTTTCATGAAATGCATTTTTTCTTGTTGAACCCCTGCAGGATTTGGCTGAAGCAGAGATCTTACCATCTGGAGCCTCTGCAGAATATGTTTGGGATGATTTGAGTTTACCTCATAAGCTAATTGTTGAAATTCTTGGTATGTACTACTAAATTTCTTTGCTGCTATATTAATCTGAGAAAAATGTCTTCCGTCTTCCTATTGAAAACTTTATCTAATACTTTGAAATTGACAGGAGTCCTGAGATTATGATGTCTGATGTTTAGTAAAGGCCTTAATATTACTTTTCTTGCGACATTGCATATCTAAGGCATCATAATTTTGTCATATGCGCCGTGTGATTTAAGGTTGCTTGAGCTGCAATTTTTTATGCATATACAACTTCAAGACCAGTTGCATTTAACTCTTTCAAGGAATAGCGAAGTTTTCTGTTAATGTAGGAGTTCAAGGATTGAATTCCTAGCCAATTTTGTAGAAATATTGTCATAGTTATTAGAGCTGAATTTGCATATAGTATTTTTTTTCCTTCTAGATAAAAATTTTAGTTTACAACATGGAAACGTAGTATTATTTCTGTATGAGGCAATTCTATGGGCTTTTAAATAATAGTTTAGTTCTTGAAAATGGTGTATTGAGAGTCTCTTCATATTGGCTTTATTAGGGTATAGCTAGAGTAGCGAGAGAAAACTTGTGTTGATTTTCTTATGGTCTTATATGGATACAGGTAGGATTTAGTAAATCCAAAGATTGGGATTTAGCATCCTGGAGGAGTTAAATCCTCAATATTATTTGGATGCCCATTTCGTAAATCCGAGCAAAATTAAAAATCACTTGGAGTGATGTGAAACAACATGCGATGGAAACAAGAACTGCTTGGGAATCGCAATCTCTGACGATGTCCTCATCATGGAGGTTTGAGGAATTGGAAATTTAAGTGATTTAGGTTTTTTTATGAAGATTTGAGTTTAATTGGCCCTTCTAAGTGTCCAATAGTTAGGTCATAGATAGTTTATTGTGGCTACAATTAATTGTGGATTGATAGGTGTTTTTAAGGGTTGAATATGTGTGATTCATGTCTAATTATTATTAGATTCTTAATATTGTTATTAATTTAATCATTTAATGGCACTGAATGACTATTAAAATCAGTTTTCTAAGTTAAACATTACTGATTTTATTTATGCAGATTTTCATTTAATGCGTGAAATCAACATTGACAAGGTTTGTAAATGGAAGTCATTCTTTAAGACGAGGGAACATAGGGGGATGCTACTGCATTTGCCAATGAATAAACAAACTGAAAATGATCAGGGAACTGATAGGGAACCACAGGGAATAGAAATCTTCAAATTGGGTTTTGAAGTTTATGCAGATGATTCCACCAGGGTTTTACGTTTTTGTGAATTCCCAAAAGGAATGGAACAAATTGCTGCTCAGCCTTCTGCAAATATTCAATTGAGACTTTCATCCTTCGCAGTACACTTTCTTAAGAATAACAAGCAGGTTTCTTTTATAATAATTTGAAATCTCTCCATTACTTAAGTAATTTTGTTTTATTTAATTTGTTACTTTTCAAAGCAATGACATTCACCTTAGTTGTTTAAAAATATATTTATATTGTTATACTTGTTTGGTTTTTTTAATTTATTCCAAATCTTAGAGAGAGGACGACGCTAGTAACTACTAATTTTTGGAACTAAGGATACATGCTTGTTTCTGACACTTGAAGTTTAAATTGTAATATCCCTCTTTTTTGTGTTTGATACTCCTCAAATCAATTGCTGGATCTGTCTGTATAATGAAGTTGTGTTAGCATTTTTTTTCAACTTGTTTATTTTAAGACCATTACCTTGGGCTTTCCCTAGAACTCACACAGAGATCTAGGAAAATTTGAACTCACCAAGAGATCAAGAAAATATGAACTCACAAAGAGAACACATAATAGAAATTTTCATTCATCATCATCATCATCATCCCTCAATACAAGAAAGCTAGCCTATAAATAGGCCTCATGAAACGAAAAATAACAAAGACTAAAATGCCCTTCGGACTACAACACTACATGACCACCCATAAGGGTATAAATGGAAAAACAACACTATAAAATAAACTAGTACAAAAACATATAAATAAATAACTAAAAAATCGTAGCCGTTGATCTCCGATGTCTTCATCAGTAATATCCCTCTTTTTTGTGTTTGATACTCCTCAAATCAATTGCTGGATCTGTCTGTATAATGAAGTTGTGTTAGCATTTCTTTTCAAGTTGTTTATTTTAAGATTTAGGACTTATCTTCTAACAAATGATCTTTAGGTCAGGTACAGTCTCAAACTTGTATATCAACAAACATTCCCACTTCAAATTATGCTAGTGATATGTCTTTGACACTATCGCCTAAAACATTCAAAATTTACTCTACTTCAAAAATTAATTCCATCTCTATTTATCAACAAAAATTTGAAGGGTTTTAATTATGAAAATTTTGACCTGGCTAAACATGCTCATATTTCATATCACAATCAAACCTACAAACCTTCTCGACTTTTTGCTTTAGTCCATAATGATGTGTGGAGATTACCTAGAGTGAAAAAATATCTTTATCATTAGATGATTTATTTCCTTCATCGGCAATCATACCCATCTCGTTTGGTTTTCTTACAACAACAACATCAAGGCTTCATCCCACTATGTGGGGTCGGCTAAATGAATCCTTTTTCTCCATTGTGTCTTATTAAAAGCTAAATTCTCTTTTAAATCTCTACTTTTCTAACCAAGTATTTTTAGATTTATCTCAACTTTTCTTAACATAGGCTAGATCTAATACATCTACTCTCCTAATTGGGTTATTAGAATGCTGATGTTTTAAGTGATCAAATCTTCTAAGACGACTCTCTATTTTCACTGTCATTAGAGCAACTCCAACTATTTCACATATGTGCTCATTTCGCATTGTCTTTAAGAGTAAAACCACACATCCACTTGAGTATCCTCATCTCTGCAATACTAAACTTAATTTTATGCTTCTCTTTTAACAGCCAACAATTTGCGCCATAAAGCATTGCAGGTTTCACCACCATCTTATAAAATTTTACCTTAAGTTTGAGGGGTACTTTTCTATCACACAACAGGCTTGTTGCATTCCTCCATTTCAATGATCCAACTTCAATTCTACTAATAATATTCACATCTATTTCACTATCACGTTGGACAAATAACCGAAATATCTAAAACATGCTCTCTTTTTAATGACTTGATTGCCCAAAGTCACAATATCCCACTAGATCTATTAATATTAAAATTATAATCTTTTAGATCTACTAAAAAAAATATTTTGACTCTAAGGTTGACACCCCAAATTCAATTTTTCCTTCAACTCCCTCTCTAGTCTTATCAACAAGAAGAATATCATATGCAAAATGCAAACACTAGGGCACATCCTCTTGTAAATGTCTAGTAAAAACATTCATGATTAAAACAAAAAGATATAGGCTAAAAGCTAATCCTTGATTTAAACTAACTGAGATAGGAAAATACTTGGTCAAACCACCTTGTGTTTGAATACAAGTAACAGCTCTTACATATATATCCTTAATGACTTGAATATAAGCATTATTAACTTCTTTTTTTCTATAACTCTTTAGAGCGTTTCTCTTGGAACTTAATTATATGCTTTCTCTAAATCAATAATTATCATATATAGATCCTCCTTATTCTCTCTATACTTATCCATCAAACCTCTTAATTATTTTAAAATTTAAATATTATATATATAATTTAAAAAATTAAAAAATCAATTAAATCTACTCAAATATATTTCCTCATGAGTCATTCCCACACCCTTCTAGCTTATCATATTAGAGTTTTGTTTGGGACAACTTTTTTGCTACATTCTAAAGCCACTTTTTAGTAAAAAATTTTTAGTTCACAAATTTTTTGTACTAAAATAGCTGTTTTATAAAGTAGTAAGAAAGTTCTTTCAAATGAAGCATAGAACTCCTCTCAAATGCAAGCCCTCATAATGCACAAGTCCCCCCAGACTCTATCAATCATACTCACTCATAGGTCGAATTGCCCTCTCCCTCTCTGATGCAGGACTACGAATGAATGCAATGTTTGTAAGGAATTTGCACAACCCTTGATTAGAATAGTAATGAAGAAACCTTTAGCATTCTAAAACAACGAATAAAATAAGAAAGGGGTCACCCCCGCTTAGGCTAAATCGCAAGACAAGAGTTTCAGAAAAACTTTCAAAATAGATTAGTAAATCACTTGATGCGGAAGTAGTAGTTTCAATACAATCACTAATCTAACAATTAAAATTAATTAGCAATAAGGTGCGCTCAAAATCCTACGTTTACTAAGCTTAGCTTGAGCAAGAAGAGCTGTCCTTCGTGACTACAATCAAACGCAAGAGAGAGTTAGACTAAAGAAATATATTGAAAAGGGGGAGAAGAGAACCTCTCGTTAAGGAGTGGTGGAGATCCTCCACTCAACGCCTTCAAAGTGCTCGTCGATTGCTTCTACTAAGGTGTCCAGAATACGCTTCAAGTTGTCCTCGACGGTATGATCAATCCTTGGATTCACGTCGAAGAAGGTTGATCGAAGAATGTCGGTGTAGCCGTCTTCGTCCCAAGTTAGGCCGTATTCAGTCTCTGGATCCGCCATTCATGGGAGATAGGAAGCAAATCTCCGCTCGTCTTGCTAGGGTTCTTGAGGATTGACAAAGAGAAAGAAGTTTCTCTTGCAAGTGAGAGGGAGGAGAGCCAAGACCAAAAATTTGAAAATAGTTTCAGATTTTTGCAAAGGTGGAGAGTTTCGGATTTAAATGAGGTTTCTAAAGTTAAGTTTAGGAATTAGGAAAGCTTTGAAATTATCCAATCTAATTTAAAATTAAATTGAATCTTCTTAGGAAACTTTCCTAAAATAAGTTTAAACAAAAAGGAAAGGATTTGAATTTCTGAATTTAATTAATTGGGATCCTAAATTGATTCCCAATTAATGGAATTAAATTTGGAAATCCAAAAAAAGGAAGAATTGAAGTGGGGCTGGCGGTTTGGGCCTTGTATGGCCGGTGGCTAGGGCGAGGGAGGGAGGAAATTAAGGGGGGTTTTAATGCCTTCTTAATTAAATGGATTAGATTTTAGGACAAATTAAGTCGTCCTAAGTTATTTAAAATCCAAGGGAGCGAAAATTTGGAAACTTACCTAAACTAGATTTTATAATTTAGGAAAGGATTTGAATTTCAAATTTAGGGAAAATTGAATTCAAATACCACTAAATTATGGCAATCAAAATTAGGAAGAATCCAAAATAGGTAATGGGGGATGGGAGGGGGTTAAGCCGGCGGGTTGAATGGGGCGGGTGAGGGTGGTCGGCGTCTTGTGGGGGAGGAAACGTGGAGTTTGGTTAGGGGAGGATGTTGGCTTGATTTTGGAGGTGGATTTGGACGTAAGGACTACGAAGAAGGGAGGTGAAAGGGGAAAACGAGAAACAGAGAAGAAAACCACGAACATGGCCGTCTCCAAGGTTGGTGGGTGATCCAATCTCCCTCTCCAAGGGATCTCTCCAAAGTTCTCTCCAAGAACTCTCAAAACACAAGTGCAAGAAAATTCTCATAATAATCATTCATTAACTTCAAACATAAGACATGAGGCTATAAATAGCCAAGTACAAAGGATTCAAGAAAATAAAAGACAAACTTGCCCTCCGGGCTTACATACGACGATTCCCACTAAAAGGGTACAACTGGGAAAATAATAAAAACAAATACACGACACTAAAAAATAGAAAATACATGAATAAGAAAATAACATAAATAGCTCATAAATATAAAGACTCGATCGTGGCCGTAGATCGGCGGCCACGCCTATGATAAACCTTCCACGAGCTGATGTCCCCATCACTCTCATTCTCTCCAATGTTGGAACCCCCTCCAGCCTTGTCACCAACCCCAAGCAGTCCGACCAACTTGCACAGAACGCACAGTTTTCGGCCTACAGCTCTTATGCACCATGATTGACCCGCTCAACTAAAGCCTCATTCTCCCGTGCAACCCCAACTCCTAGCAATCCCTCCTCACGGTCTTCTTTCTCCTTTACGCACGCAACAGACAACCAAACCCCATCTCCCTTGGTCGAAATTCCATTCACATCTCAATTTTCCGCCATCACTCACAAATGCCCACACAAATCTTAAGCCCTTAGCTAATCTATCTTCCCTATCTCCTCCTGGACGTTACTTGCTGAGCACTATAAGATTCTTTCTCATTCTACTAGCTGAGAGACACCTAATCCTTCTGTAGCCTACCACTTTTCTTGTACACGTAGTAGCTGTCTAGAATACGAACTCCAATAAATTCTATTTCTAAAGACTTCATACAGTAGCTGGCCAACCTAATAGCCTAGCCTCAAAGTGTTAATCAAACTCTACATGCATCATTACTAAACCTCAATAATCCTTTAAGCAACCTATAAACCTGCTAAATGAACTCCAACTTACAGCAGCCTTTAGGATTATGATATAAGCCAATATTTTATAATATTATTTGCAGTCGTTTAATTCAAGAAAAAAAAGAAATTAATAGTTAAAGAGGTTTATTTCTTGGGTTACAATATTTCTGCTCATAATGCAGGTTTTGTCGCCTCACTATCGCTGCCTCACCTTTGTGAACATAGGTTTATCTCTTTTACATGCTTAAACAACAAGTATGGAAGACCCCCGCATTTCATTGATCTTAGATATGACCGAGATGAATAAGAATTATATGAAGACTTCGGGTTCCATTGATTATAGATCTCGTGGCGAAGAATTAGGATTATATGAAGACCCCACATTCCCTTGATCTTAGATCGGTCCAAGAAGAAAAAAAAAGGCACTAGCCTGCCCCGATAATGTCCCCTACGCGGGGAAGACATCGGGAGGCTGTCAAAATTTCGATTGATAGATGACTCCCACAACTATATTAAAATGAACCTCTGAACAAAACAAATATTAAAATAACATATTTTAAATTAATAATTAAAATAAATAGGGGTGCTTCCTCTCAAATTTGGCTCATTACAAATTATTTAAATATATAGCATTTATGCAAGTGCGTCTATAATATAATTATTTAATAGCGTTGACTTAGTTGATTAGGCTTACCAGCTAAGGCTCTAATTCAAGTTTTATTCCCTAGTCAATTCAAAGATCCTAGTGAGATGTCATCAAGCTGACTTGCTTGCAAAGTAAGATCATAAGACTAATATTTAAAGCCATCATAAATTCATGTTGAAAATATACACATTAGAATATACTTAAATGCAATTCGATAAGTTAGAACTCATTCAATGTCTCTCATATAATTTGAAGTTACTAAAATATATATTGTTGAATATTTGAAACTCAAAGTTAGAGAATTTATTTTAGGAAAATATTTTTATGAATAAAATGAGAGATTGATTGTGATCTTCTCTTATGATTATGTTTCCTAATTATGGAATTTATTTTAGGAAAGTAATTTTAGAAATAAAAGGAGAGATGAGAGATCAATTGTGATCTTCTCCTATGATGTTATTTTCTAATTTTTAGGAAAGAATTATTCTCATATGACTATGTTTCCTAAATTAAGGAAAGAATTAAGATAGTTATTTCCTTTATCAGATCTTTTTTTGTATATATATGTAGATGTAGCATCGTTTTCAACAAGAACAATAAATCAAGAAATTCTTCAGGGTATCATAGAGAGTTCTCTGAACCCTAATCCCTTCAGACCTCCTCTCACTGGCAGATACATTATGGCTATCTCTTCTCTATTTCTCAAACCGATTCTCTTTAGTTAGTGTTCGTTTTGGCCTTCTCCTTCTAAATTTTAAGCAATCCTATTCGTTCTTCTCCTTCATCTTCTTCGCAATACAGAATGGTTTCATCACAAACTTCCAGCATCCTTGTATCATAATCAGAAAGTAGTTCAAAAATTTCAAAACTTTGTGGCAAAATATAAAATATAAATTAAGTTTGTTTCTACTCGGTCTCAATGTTGTTTTTCCCATTTTCTATAAAAACAGGTTGAATAAAAGCCTGGTGAGCTATGAGGCTCAAAGATATGTAGCTCTAATACATGAGTCAAGTATATAAAAAATATAACCAACAAATAAGTATAAAGACTATAATTAAGCCATGCCCTATTTTATAATACATCATTAATATGTATAAAATACATGATTGAGCTCTATATAAATACCAGATAATATTAATATGCTCACTCGAATCAAGAAGACAAAATATCAATCACGATACTACAGGGAAAGTAATTTCATATCAGTTGTTTTAAATATTTAATCATGAATTTAATCGTATTGATATTTCATTTGATTGATTATCTTTCCTTTCTAATTTTATGTCATCTCTAACCTATGAATGTGTCATGTCAAGATGTTTAGGTCCAAATTGGCTCTAGCCCGTAGGCTTCATCATATTTAGGACGCATTGCCTCTTGAGGTCACATTGCCTCATAACCCATATGTTTTATTATACTGATGTCACATTGCTTCCATTTGGGTCTCATTGTTCATCGGTGTCTGACCGCCTCATTTATCTGTCACTTAATATGACACTTTCTTAGGTTTATCAAATTCTAATAATTGTATTTACTTTATCAGTTACACATGTCATATGTTAATTTAAAATAAACGGGTATACAATGCATGTATAAAAAAAAGCTTAAACATATATTATGCATTTCATTTGACAGTGTAACATCTAGCAAAACATGAATTTTCTAATACATTCAACAATATGTGATTTCATTCGATGCTATATAGATTTGCTAGTAGATAACACCCTAAAGTGGTCACGGTGTAATGACACATGAAAAAGGCTTAAGCACTTGTTTTCTGAATTAGAAAGCTACATATCTTACCTTTGAGCAAGCTGCCTCTGTAGTTCGAACACCTCGAACTCGCCTACATGTATACATCACCTATATCATCTTAAATTGCTTAATTTGCCAATTCTTATAATTTCCCGAATCATATAATTACATTTAAATATATTCCCAAGCTAACATACTTCCAAATTTCTCCTCATGATTTTAAAGCCTCAAAATTTCCCCTGCTTATACTATGGACTCCTAAATTACAACTGAATACAGTTAAATGGAAATTTTATAGAAATTTAACATATAACAAAAAACCCAAATTTTCTTACCTTTGTGTCAATTCCCCTTTTATTCCATTTTTTTCCTCTCTTCTTTTTCTTTCTTTCCTTTTATTCTCCAGTTTTCCTTCCCCCTCTTGTTCTTTTTCTTCTTCTTTTGTTTCAACTCTTACCCGATTCCTCTCCCTGCCTTCGGGCAACACCCTACGCTAGTTCCCAACCGCGTCTTCAACTCCTCCCAGCACGCAAAGTCCTAACCGAGAGCTCCTCCATGCGGAATTGGAAGCAGCTAAAAATAAATAAAAGTAAAAGTAATTACATATTCTAATTTTTTAACTTTCCTTCTAATCCACTAGTGCATGACATCGGAAGTGCTTAATTTTTTATTTAACTTCTGCTACAGTAAATCATATAAATGAAAAGTGATAAAATTAAAACTTTAGGAAATTAATTCAATTCAAAATTAATTCCATAAATTTGACATCTTTACCAATTAGCATATACTTTTATATACTAATTTGCTCCATTTGACGAGTAGAGCACATTTGCATGTTTTTTTGATGATTTTTGTAAAAGTTGGTAGTTTTTCATCTACAGCAATCCATTAAGCTGTGGCCAGCACATTTCCATCTACAGAAATCCAGCAATTTGTAGGCAACTTTCCATCTGCAGCAATACATCAATTTATTATTAGTAGCTTTCCATCTACAACGATCCAATAAGCTATGGATAACAGCTTTCTATTTCTGTTGTAGTTAATTCTAGATTTTAGAATTAAAGACTAATTTTTCAAATTTTATTTATTTCATAAATAGTACTTCACATATTTACGTATATCATTTTATCGTCTCTTTTACCCTTAACAAAGGAATAAATTTAGTCATGAAGTTCTCATTTTTAGGCTCTTCTCTTTTTTTTTTCTCACCGGGTGCAGGTAACCCGGTTATTTTTATGCTCTTCTCTTCTCATTCTAATTCTCAGGAATTAGGGTTCAAGTAAAACCTAGTACTAGGGAACATAAATTAGGCTCAAGTAAAACCATGCAAATTTTGTTGGTGATTTGTAGCAAATTTGCTAAACCCTAAAAAAGCACATAATGCACGGGTAGAAACATTTCATCATGTATTTTCCTATCTGTTTCTTATGCGTAACAATTTTTTTATCATTTTTCTTGGTTGTATCAGATGGAAGATGTTGGTTCAAATGAACCACTAAATTATGCAACCATTATTGTGGCTAGGTTTGGAAACGTTGTCGTTGATTCATTGATTACCAATCATTGCAAGTATAATTATTTAAAAGTTCAGGTATTCCACCATTGCTCGACATCTTTGGTATGATGAGACTAATATGCATTAATCTCTCTCTCTCTCTCTCTCATCCCTCCCTACCCTCTTGCTTGGTTTTTCCCATCTCCCTGTGGTTGTGCAGAGCACCGTGCATACATATTAACTGCAATTTTTTTTTAATCATTGCAGTCATTTACTGTGGATGAAAAATGGCAAGGAGCTCCGTTTGCATCAATGGTTCGAAGAAGCCACCTACATGATTCTGGAATGAATATCAACATTCTTCAAATAGTTTTCAATATTCTACAGTTCACCAATTCTAAAGTTAAACAAGTTAAATACTCTTCCGTCATTATTCAGGTAAAAATGGATTTCACAGAGTTTTTAAAAAGATTCATTTTTCTGGCATTAAGAAATGATGTATTCATGTTACTGCCAATGAGTTTGAGGGTTCGCAAATAATATGGATACAAATTGTTAATTTTCTGTAATCTGAATATGCAATATATGACTTAGAGATACATTCTACAGCCGATTGATCTAAAAATTGATGAGGAGACACTAATGAAACTTGTTCCATTTTGGAGATCCTCAAATAGTAACTCCAGAGAGCAGAGTCAGCAGTTTTATTTTAAGCACTTTGAGATTCATCCGATTAAGGTTGGTGCTACAATCAACTCCCCTCCTTAGCTACTGTTAAACAGTCTTTCTCATGTAACGCGTAGCACGCATAATTGATCACTAAATCGTAGACCTTAGCTTTATTTCTTTGTTTCAATTTAGAGTATAAACTAAATTAAAATTTTTGTTGTTACATCGATGCTTTTTTTACAGATAACAGCATCCTTTCTTCCTGGTAATCAATATCCTGGTTATAGTTCAGCTGAAGAGACGTTGAGGTCCTTTTTGCATAGTATTCTAAAGGTGTTTCCGAAGTATCTTCTCATTCTTTTGTGATCTTTATAAATTGGATATCAGAAAAAAAAATAAAAAAATTAAAGGCATGCATCGTTTTTATCTGTTTAACCTATTACTTTCATTTTGTTTTAGGTGCCATCAATTAGAAATGTTGTTTTTGAGCTAAATGGTGTTCTACTTACTCATGCCCTAGTAACTTCTCGTGAGCTGCTTATTAAATGTGCACAACATTATTCATGGTAGGCTTGCTGATTACTTTACTAAAAAGTCACAGGATTTGCGATATGATTGGTTGATTATCTTTAAATGAACCACCTCAAAAATTTTACATTTTCAGGTACCTGATAAGAGCAATATATATCACAAAAGGAAGCTCTTTACTTCCTCCAGCCTTTGCTTCGATCTTTGATGACACGGCAGCTTCTTCTCTTGATGTATTTTTTGACCCTTCTGACGGTTCAATCAGTCTACCTGGACTTACAGTAGGTATAATTTATCATATGAATCTAGTTTCTTCCTAGCTTGTTTTTAAGCTTAAACCTGGTTGCAATCCTGAACACATCTTCTCTAGCATACCTTAACAGGCAATATGGGAAAAGAGCATTGCAGTAATATTCTTTTGGTTTGATTTTTTCTGTATTACTTTTTTAAGAAATTGTATTTCAAAGATATGGATATAAGTAAAACAAAGCCAATTCCCAAGATTTATCAAAGTGCAAAGAAAACAAAAATTTGTAATGCAATCTCTCTTTTGGTTTGATTTATTCTGTATTTTTTTTTAAAACAGCTCTATTTTCAAATTCGGAGCATGTGATTTCGCCTACGCAATTGATCGCTTCATTTGTCTTAATCGTCGTTTGAAGATTGCTTATAATTTTGTTCTGAAATTATTCTAATTCAATAGTTGTGCAATGCTCAAATGAAACCATAACCATAGCATCTAAAGTAGTCCTGCATCAGCAATCTCTCTTTTGGTTTGATTTATTCTGTATTTTTTTTAAAACAGCTTTATTTCAAAGATATTGATATAAGTAAGTCAAAGGCAATTATCAAGATTTGCGGAAGTGCAAAGAATATATATAATGCATGAAACCAAATGATGCACCATCCAATAGAGCAGGAAAAACAAAAAACAACAACAAAGGAGAACAAAGAACTCGTTTGGACCATCTTGTTTAGAGCTTGATAAAAGTGGCGAATATCGATATATTTTTTCAGTTGTAGCCTTGTCTAGTTAATACTATTTGAAATATCCTATCCATTAAAACAAATTCACTTATAATGCTCCCATCAAAATTCTTAGGATATAAAATTTCATGGGTCAATATTGTCATCAATAATAGGAGGGAGAGGGGTAACTTCTAGGATCGACAATATAAGTTCCAATATTTTATTAATCGAAGCTGTACAAACTATTTCCGGAGGAATAACAGGAACGGGCTCAACAGTCTCTATATTAGATAAAACCTTTGAATTTTTTAATAAATGTTTGGAAGAACGTTCTAAACAAGATCAGTACTATCCTTCTAAACCATGTTAATACTCATGAGATACGAGAGTAACCATCTTCACTAATCCCTTGGTCTTAATTTTGATGAAAAAATTTTATCAACAAATTTAAAATATTTTGTAATCAAATATGACATTGTAAATAAAACATTATTCTGTAAAACAAATATTATTTTGTTGTAGACTTAATAATAAAATGAATTTTCAACTTCCTATGTTTCTATAGATTTTTTTCCTACACGATGTATTTGATTGAGTATGATTTATTTGATTTTGGGGTATAGGTTTTCGATAAGGACAAGCCCTTATGATTAATTACATAGTTTCTCTCTTGAGAGTATTTTTAATTGAAATAATAGGTTGCATTCTCTTTTATCAAAACATTGGCTAATATTTTTATATGAATTTCAAGAATTTCATTTCAAAGGTTTGGTCTTTCAAATTTCAAAGATGAATGGATCAACTTAGAATTGGTTTCGAGTAGAAGCCAAAGGAAGAAAGAGTATTAAAAAATATCCTATGCTTTTCTATTTTAATATTTAATTTTGGTTGAAGTTTACCAATTTTATTTAAAAATTTGGGGCTTCTATTTCAACAACACAAGATTAAGAAATGTCCCAAAAAGATGATAATTTATGATGTAATTAAAAAGAACGTTAGCCTCAGACCTTAGCTCTAAGGTGAGAACCAATAATATGTAATAACTTGGATCTAAATCTAACAAAAGTGCTTGAGATTTTCGAACTTTAAACATCCCATAAGGTTAAATCAACTCAACCTCTGATCTTACATTCCTTCTTGAAAGGGATTTCAACTAAACCTACATAAGCACTTTTAAAATTATGTAGTATAAGTCTCAATGCAGATGCAAGAGATGTTAGGTTATTTTGATTTCAAGAAAGAGAACTAACAGCTTAGCCATTTAAAATAATATGCCTAACCAGAAGGGTGTATATGCTAACTCATAATGCTATTTTTTATATTATTTTTTATGGGAGGGCTTCTATTTCTATATGCAACTCACAAAGTTATGTATATGATGTTCATTAGCGAATACAAATGGGTTTGGTGCTGATTTTGATAAACACACCTTTATGGATAAGCAATCATTTCAATATTGGATTGTATAATTAGATCTGTAAGGAAGCTTTTCATTTTATTTTAGTTTTGAAATCTCAACTTACTTTGGGATAAACTATATAAATTTTTATTATATGAAAAAATCATCCTATGATTGATTTTAGAATTGTTTATATTTTAATGGGTGGAAAAGTTAGCATCCTACATGTCTACCACGTAATATGTATAAGTTAACATCAAGCAAAACATTAGAAGATACCCAGGAAAAACATTTATTTCTAGTACGCACTTAAAGTAAGCACACAATCATCACATAAATAATTAACCAAAGGAATAATATAGTGGCCATTTACAATCAGGAAAAATGCAAAAAAAAAAAAAAAAGAGGCAACTGAGTTACCATGCCCTATATAACCCAGTTAAATTTACAGATTCGACTTGTGGGTCTTCGAGATTTAGCTTTTAATGCTTCTAGAATTTCACTTTGGGATTCAACATTTTGGTTTATCGTTCATATGTTATATCCCACGGGCTTACATGGCCTTTTGCAACGAACAAATAAATTACATATTTTAAAAGAAAAAAAAAATATTCTTTTTCTTATAAGACCAATTTCTTCGCATCGATGGTTTCAAGCTGATTTCAATATTTATTGAACATGTCTACTCAGAGATTTAGCATACAAAGCAGGGCTTGCTAGATAAAGTAGTTGGTTGATGAATTTTAATTTTGTTTGATCATTTGAGCATGATTACCTACATGAAAAATATATATCTTTGCTTTAACACTTGAGTACAAATTGTCATAACACAACAATCATTCCACACTAGACATTACAACTAAATACTCAAGAAAATAAATCCTAATCCTAAGATTCACATCTATTGTGTGGTTATCATGCAATTATTTGATGTGTTGTTTTATTATGAAATAGGAAGAGATATAATTTAGTCCAAGAGTGATGTCACTTTTAAGTTATTTGTGACTTAAAACTTATATTTGAATTGTAAAGGTGTTTCATATTTTAAAAGTGATGCAAGCAAAACTAGAGTAAAGAGACAAATTGGAGAACACCAGGACAAAACATAAACCAAACTCGATTCAAATATAGCTTGCAAACAACCAAACAAACTTTCAAGAAACAAAAGCCAAATCAAACGAAACAAAATATAAAAACACTATCGTCATTATAAACGTCTAGCGGTCTCCTCACATGCAACGAGAGTAGGAATATATAATAAAATTGTGCTTAGGCTTGCAAACTGAGGGTCCACACTGCAAAAGAGTCCAACGTCCTACCAAACTCCTCTGGCAAATGTCTCCAAATTCAGCCAACATACACTTCCAAAGCTCAAGAAGAAGGATACAGGTGGAGTGGAACTTGCGTAGAGAAGAAGAGGTTAGAAGCCAAGACGAAATAGAGAGGAGGAAAGGGGGTGGAACAGCTCTCAAGCTTTTCCAAGAGAAGAAATCCTCAGGTTTTGTAGAAACTTTGCTCACAACATTCAACAACCTTTTCCAACTCAAAACAACTCATTTTTATAGGCAAAAGAAGGTAGACAAATAGCCATAACACCTCCAACCAAATCCAATCAGAATTGGGGAAATGAAAGGCCGAAAGACAGCAAAACTACTGCAGGAAAATTGCACATAAAACAGAGAAATTTTCATAGAATTCCCCCCCAAACAGTCACGGAAAACCAGCCAGCAAGGGACCCGAAAAGCCAGCACATGAGGCAAAGCATCAAGTCACGGGAAACCAGCCAGCAAGGGACCCGAAAAGCCAGCACAGGAGACAAAGGAGCAGATCACGGGAAACCAGTCAGCAAGGGAAAACCGAGAATGCAAAAGGGAGGAGAAGAGGCACAAGTCCACTCCATAATGAATTCTTGAAATAATAGCATACCTTTTTGAATTAATGAGCTAGGAAGTGCAATTAATCCCCAATCATTGAGCTAAACTTCAGCTCAAGCATTTATGAGCTAACACAAAGTAGAAATCAGCAATTTTGAGCTCAACACCAAGCAACCAAGGCCCATCCGAGAGCAGCCACCACACCAAACCAAAATCAGCAAGCAGCCCAAAGACGAAATGGACTCAAAAGCAAGCAAATCCAAGGCTTGCCATGCCTAGCACATTCCTACCATGATCATTGGAAGCCCAACCATCATAGGATAACTTTAAAAAAAAAACATAAAACACAACTAATATTGTTCAAAATACAATAAAACAAAAATAACTAAAAATATTGAATGCATCAAAAAGGGTTTTGTAGAGCCTATATACTTGCTTGCCTTAACACAAACTTATGATTCACGATATTTTGAGATTCAATGATACAAGCATTTCATATTTTGAGGTGAAATGGTACATCATTGCCAAAAAGAAACTTAAGTTGTTTTTAGGCTGGTCCTAGGGCCAACTGAACAAGTCCAACTTGGACCGGTTCTTTGCTACAGGAGGCGGGGGTGGAACCAAGGGGAAGAGAGAGAGACGCCGGTTGGAGAGATGGGGCCCAGAACTTAATTAAGCGTTACTTTGTGAGGGAAACTTGAATTAGAGGTTGTTTAGGTATTTTGTATTTGTCCTCTTTTTTTTAAGTAGTTCCTTTGGGAGGATTAGGGCTTCATCTGGAATTGGAAGAGAGATTGTTCTTTTGGGCTCTAGGCTTTGCTAGAGATTTGGAGAGTTTTTTCTTCCTCTCGAATTGAAGAAATTTGTATCTTGTATTATTTTTTTTGTTCGTGAATTGAATAGAAGAAGTTTCCTTGTGTTTTCCACCTAATTTTCTGAAATTTCTGCATCGTATTTCAGATTTCTCTCTGAAATCAGCAGATTTCTCGCTGTTTTCACCAATTATTGTTAGGTTTGCTTGCAAACTCAAGTATTTCCCCTTAGGGTTACTTGCAAACTCAGTATTTCCTATCAATTGCTTTTATGATTTTTATGATATTTCATTTCATTTTTTTAAGAATAGTTTTGAAAGAAACTTTGAAGGTTTTGGATTTAATTTTGAGATAAAAGATTTAATCACCTATTTTGTGAAGTGATGAAAATTTAGAGTTTGAGTATACATTGATAAATCACATATTTGATCAGGCTAACTATGTGAACCTTAGCTTTGAGGCCAAGAAGAAAGGATGATACTTGATTAGGTTAAGCTTGTGAGCCAATGGCTTAGGGCACAAAAGAAAAGAAAACTCTAAGTTAATTTGAATAAAATAGGAAAGACTACTAGGATTTGGTCCTAACATTAAAGATGTATTCATTCACTTGGTTTTGGGTCCAAGCAAATGAAGATAAAATATTTCCATAGCTTTGGGACCATTAAAACACAAGAGATCATATAGCTATGAGGCTAAGAAAAAAAATGGTTATTGATTTAGTGTTGCATAAGATGATGAGTTATTTTCTTGAGTTGGGTTCAAGCAAATGCAACATATAACGTAATTAAAACGAACATCAACCTCACATCTCAAATATAAGGTGAGAACCACCGATAATTAGTAACTCGAATCTAAATATACCAAAATACATGGCATTTATGAAATTGAAACTTCAAATGAGGTTAAGTGAGTCTGACCTCTAGTCTTTCAATCTTGCATGAAAAATATGGGTAGCTAAATACACCTATGCGCTTTTAAAATCATATAGTCCTGATCTCAATGCAGATGCTTTTAGAATCAAGTTATTTTGATTTTAGGAAAGTTGACTTACAGCTTAGTCACTTAGGCTAAGATGCCTATGATGAACCTTGTCATTTAAAATATCCTAGACATAATAAGGTGTACACTTCACCTAAGCGGAAAGGTGAGAATTTACAGTTTCTCATAAGCAAACAAATCACAAGTATAATTTTTTTGTCATTTTAAGAGTTTGTGCAAGAAAATTTTATTTTAAGTTTAATGGAATTATAAATTATTTAGTTTAGCATTTTTTATAATTTTGTGAATTCATAAATTTTATTTTGAAATTTTGTTATTTTTATTTAATTTTTTATAAAATTTTTAAGTTTCTCAGTTGTTTAATTATTCTATTATTAAATTTAGAGTTTCTTCATTATTATTTTATATTTTTACAATGTACAAAAAATATAAAATAATTCTTCGGAGTTTGGAAAAACTTACAAAAACTTTCTGTAAAAATTTAAAATTATTTTAAATTTCATATTTTTAAAATTATTTAATGATAAAATTCCAGTTTGTTGCTAAGATGAACTACAAAAATAATAAAAAAATATTTCAAAGGTTAAGATAATTTGGGGAGTCTCTCATAAAAATTTGAGATCATGTTGATTGAATTTCAATTTAATAAAGTTTTTATATTATTTAAATTACCTAAATTTAATTTTAAATTAAATTAGCTTCAAATTCATTGAAATCGATCACAAGATCTAGATATGTTCCTATGATGATCTCATAAAAATGTAAAGTCAATTGGATGTATTTATGCTTTGTTATGATTAAATGGTATATTTTATTAATTAAATTATTTAAATGTACTTTCTGATTTTAAAACCTTAGGAATTTGACTTTCTCTATTTTTAGATGTAATAAACTCCAAGAAAATTTATTTATTTTGTTAATTTTAAGGAATTTATGTGGATTTCTAATAATTTTTCCAAAGTATAGGACAATTAGGAACGGTTATTGACCTAGGAATTAGGATTTATATTTTGGACCTTAAAAGAATTCAAATTTTCTTTGAATTTAATTTACAATTCAAATAATATTATAATATTCATAGAGCATTTTCCTAAAATATTTGCTTATTCGGAGTTTTTTTTTATAATTTATTATAATTTATTGAATTTATTTATTCATAATCTTTAAAATTTGATGGTATTTATTTAATGTTTTCAATTTTTTTAAATTTGTTTTTCTTTGTGTTTAAAATTTATTATGAGTTTAGTGAAATTTATGTTGTATTTTAAGGTTTTTAGTTGAATGTGTTATGAATTTTATAAGTTTCAATTCAGGGATTTTCATTGCAATTAGTGTTTGATTATTAGCCCCTTAAATGAACTCCAAAGTTCATGAAATTTAAATCATAAACCTATGATGGTTTGAGGATCAATCTCTGGAACTTTGAACTTTGTAATAATTTATTGATTCTGAAATTGAATTAATTTTTTAATATTAAAAAAATTATTTTCTAACTTTAGAATGGTTTAAAATTATTCATAACTAATTCATTTTAAATACAAATTTAATAAATAAGCCCTCTATGGATTCAAATAAATGTTAAGAATTGACTTAACCTAATTTCAAATGAATTTGCCTTAATCTTAAGAATATATCAGGGTAAATATTTAATTAACACCCTTAATCTTCTTTGATTGTCATCAGTCTCCTAGGATTCTTTGATTTTTTTCCTATGAGGGTTTGATGCATGCTTTAACCTTAATTGAATTTCTAATGCAAATGCACCTAAATGAACCCTAAAATTGAGCAAATCCTAATTAATTCTAAACAAATCTTAAAATCTTGAAATTACTTCTAAAACCCCTTTCTCGTCTCACTGAACAGAGGAAAAAAAATTAAATCAAAATTAAATTACCTAATCTATTTAATAAATCATTAAAGAAATAAACCTTAATACTTAGAAAAATTCTCTAAAATTCATTTCTAATTTTAATGACTCCAAATGAGAGACTAAACTTTAGGATGTTCACATCCTCTAATTTTAATTTCAAAAAACTTTGAGGTTGTTTGGTTAGAAGATTTTTGAACCATAATTCTAAGTTATGTTAAGAATCTTAATGGACTTAGGATTAAAAATAATAAAATAAAAAAAAAATAATGGTCTTAGGATTTTATAAATTTCATAAATAATTCAAATAAAATCATGAAAAACAAAATAAAATGTCTCAAAACATAATAGATATAAAGAAAAATAAGGTTAAACCTTAGAAAATATTTTTTTTTAAATATTCAAGTTAGAATATTTCAAGATTTATTAGAATTAATTAGGATTTGTTCATTTTTAGGGTTTATTTAGGTGTATTTTCATTAGAAATTCAATTAAGGTTAAAGCATGCATCATACCCTCATAGAAAAAATAAAAGAGGTTTACGAGACTTTGATGACAATTAAAGGAGATTTAGGGTGTTAATTGAATATTTATCCTTATATATTCTTAAGATTATGTCAAATTCTTGCGAAATTAAATTTAATAAATTCTTCACATTTGTTTGAATCCATAGAGGATTTATTTATTAAATTTGTATTTAAAATGAATTAGTTATGATTTTTCAATGTTTAAATTATTTTGGTAGTTGTGATAAATCCAACATCATTTTAATAAAATGAACTGCTGACATAGCACGCACTCCGCATGCAACGACGTCTAATTGGGGGATTTTATAAAGTGGGGGACCCACGGCCCACACTGGATGAATATTAAACATTCAATCTTAGATTTTAGACAGCACAAATCAAACTGCAAAATAATGTTGAGGTTTGTAAGGTTTTTAATACTATGGGATCAGAGCCATTCATTCTATTTGAATGGAATGGACAGTGATCATCTCCTACCTTTTGCTAAAATTTGAAGTTTTTTATCAAAACCACCTTGATCGGGAGTGATAAACTTTGATCTTCTTGATCTAGTAGATAGAGAAGGATTGTGGAGGTAAGGAGAAGAAATCTTATGGTTAGATTCTTCTAGGCTTGAAGTTCAATTTGCAATGTGTGAAACTAAAGATTGGGTTAGGACAAAGTAGTGTGCACCTTAATCCAAAGAGGCTAAATGAAATTGATTGCTATTGGAGCTTCGCCTAACCACGATGAAAAAATTTGCTGAAGACTGCTTAGATTGAAGATGGCTAGATCAATAGGAGCAATTTCGCCATGAAAGTCTCACCTGGGCTTAGATGTTCGTAGCTTTAGAGCTGAATTTGGGCTGGAGATTAATCGAGGACAGAAGCTGGAGCTACGGAGATGGTTATAGGCTTATCTCAGGGCTCTTCTCACCCATTTCAGTGGCAACACTATAAATTGGCGGATGAAGTCATTAAGGACAAGCCACTAGGGTTTTGCCAATTAGCCAAGAAAATTTCAAGACAAATGGATAGTTGGCCTTTTTGTTAGAGCTAAACCAACTTGCTACCTCAACGATCCATGGAGTTCTTGTTCAGACTATCGCGAGCAACCACCTTAGTTTACAGTGGACGGTGTGGATTAGCTTGATATAGGTGGAGACAGTTGGGCAAGGCAGACCATCTGGTGTATCTAACCTAGATTCTTGGTTTAGTTCATTTAGAGGATCAAGTTTACTTGTGTTCAATCCTTGGGTTAGTCCAAATGGGATGGGTTGGCTGGGCAAGTGGTTGAGGCACAGCTGAGGAGTTTTCTCATAGCATTGGTTTGTGAATATGCCGCCACTTGGACAGTAAACTCCTTTATTGATTAGCTAATGTAGTTAGATTACTTGCCTTGTGAATGTTAGCTGCTTTTACCTCCCTTAACTGCATTAATATTTTGTGACGTTCCCATAATTATTTTGTTAGTATAAATTACAGTACTATAGTTCCCTTACATTTGATATAGTCTCCGTTTGAGCTCTAAACTATGATTTTAACTATATGGTTTAGGCATGTTTAAGGTTATTAGCAAATGTGTCAGTACTAAGGGATTCTCCGGGACAAGACGCTATGTTGGGGATCTTGGAAAAACAGTAAGCTCCATCTTTTCAATAATTTGCATATTGTTGTGCATAGTTTTGAACTTTTTTCCTTATGGTATTCTTTGCAGATGAAAACTGCAGGTGCAAATGTTCTTTTTGCTACCCTCACAGAAATATCAGACAATGTTCTGAGAGGAGCTGAAACAAATGGCTTCAAGGGCTTGGTAAATTATCTGATAGAACTATGAATTTTCTTTCTGGTCTTATTTCAAAGTTTATGCATTTCCTAGGTTGCTGGTTTCCACCAAGGAATTCTTAGACTAGCAATGGAGCCTTCTTTGTTGGGAGCTGCTGTTATGGAAGGTGGTCCGGATAGGAGAATCAAACTTGATCGTAATCCTGGTGTTGATGAGGTAATTTTACATACTATTTGTTCTCGGCTTTTTCCCATTAACTATAAATCAGACGGGTTTGTGCTCTGCTGTTCAATTTGCATTTTCAATGTAATATTGCAAGAGTTTGCAGGAATCTAAATAATTTTTCAGAGTTTCAGCATTAAAAAAATCATCTATTGCAGCGATTGATATGGTGGTAACGGTTTTCTTTAACAAGGTCCAAGTACAAACATCTATTGTTGTATTTGACTAGTCTCTCTTGCTTACTGACTTATAATCCGTAAAAATGGCCTACCTGAATTTGGGAGAAAATCATTGAAGCGGTGAATCACCATCTAAAACATTTTGAAATACTTTTTGGACAAAATTTCTGGCCAAAAGGAGAAATTGAATTATCTGTTAGACATGAAATGACAAATTTTCCTTTGATATGACCGTTTATATCTTTTGCTTAGAGATCTTATTTTTTCTTGCTCCAAATTTATGCAGCTATATATCGAAGGGTACCTGCAGGCTATGTTGGATGTGATGTACAAACTAGAATACCTCCGTGTGAGGGTTATTGATGATCATGTAAGTTGTAAAAAATACGTGTTATTATCGTATTTATGCATCAAAAATCAATTAGAGTGTCTTGTTACTCTCTGCTGAGAGCATTATCTTCTTTTAAGTTGTTGCACGTTTCGCTTTTGGGTAGTAAAATACAGATACTAATGGGCAATCGTAACCTTATGCTGTACATTACCTTCATCTCCTCCACAGCCCTCGTGAGCATAATTGTACTTATTAGGAGCAGCTATGCATTATGCAATTGCCCACTTAAAAAATCTTAGCGATATGAAGGTTAAAGTAACGTATGTGTTGAGTAGGCATGTAATATTGCAGAAATTCTTTTTGCTGTTTTCGCACTTACAATTGTCCATAGAAATGCCAATGTTTTTTTCTTTTTTTTTTCCTTTTTCCTGTTTTGTTTTATTGTCTGAATTATTTACCCTGGACTTATGCTTCTCTGTAAACCTTTTTTCTTTAAATTTATACCTACTAAAATTTAAGTATCTAACTACTCAGTTTCAGCTTCATGTTCAAGAAAACCTTTTTTTTTTTCCTCTATTTGTGCTACTTCTACTCTTGATTTTTTTTTTTGAACTTACACCAGAAGATATGTCATGACTCTACCTGAGAACGTGGAATATCAAAGGGATAACAAACTAAGAACTAAATGCGAAACAGGAAACTTGCACAAAATAATTAAAGAGCAATTTTGGATTTTCATTATTAGCAATTAAAACAACAAAATAAAAACTAATAAGCGGTCACTTCCGTTTAGGCCAAGCTATGCAAGAGACTAAGCAAATCAAAATATTTAGGAAAATTAAAGCAATGCATACAAAGTAGTTTCTAACATCACCTTGGTCTAACAAAGAGATCTAAGTGCACGAAGCAACAAACCTACGCTTACTAGTGGATGGCGATAATGGAACACAATCTCTTACTTGAACAATCTCTCTACGAAATAAGTGGAATATGAACGTACATGAGTCAAGGCAGAAAATCACCTTCAAGAAGAACCCGTCTTGATACACCACGTGACATCCAATAGTTGTCCCTCCATGGCCTCGGTCATAGTGAATAGTACGTAGTCGGCAGACTTCTCTATGAATCCATCAATGCTTGGATTCAAGTTGAAGAACGGCAATTTGAGAAGATCCACGAAGCCTTAGCTGTCGTATGCAAAGCCGGAGTCAAGCTCCGGATCGGCCATACATCATAGACAAAAGAAGGAGAGAACATACTAGAGAAGAACAGGGAGAGAGATGGCGGTGGGGAGGGAGGCCGGCGGCTTGTAAGTGGGGGAAGAGGGCTAGGGTTAGGAAGGAACTAGGTTGAATGAAGGTAAAAGTGTTCTAATCTCCAAATCTGAAATTATTTTCAGGTTTTGAGTAAAAGTGGAGGGAAATAATTTGAATTTGGATTTCAAATGACTTGCAATTAAGAGCCTTGAAGGAGCATTAAAGGAGGGGCCCAATCAAGGGGCTGGCGGCATGGTGAGAGGGAGAGGGGTTAGGTGAAAGGGAATTATGTATTTCCTAATCCGCTCCGACTAATTAATGATGAAAATTTCAAATCCGTTCTAATTCAAATTTAAAATTGAAACCTCATTGAAACTTTCTAATTTGGCCTCGAGCAAATTTGGAAACTTTCAACTCATCAACTTTGAATTTCAAATTTGAAAATACATGGGGGTGGAGGCAAAGGGGCCGGTGATTGACGGCGAAGTGGGGTGGTGGTTGAAGGGGATGCCAGCGGGATGAGGGTGTGGGCTCGGGTTTGTGGGTAGGAGGATGTTGAGCTTGGGTAGGTGGGGCTATGAGATGGGCTTGGTGGCGGAGATGGCCGGCGGTGGAAGTTGAGGAGAAGGGGGGAAAGAAGGAGGAGAACCAAGAGCCACCGATGGTGACTGTTGCGTACGACGGGTGGCCTATCCTAGGCTCCACCAAGCTCTCAAACTCTTTCTCAAGCTCTCACATAAGCCTCAAGAACACAAGTGCAGGAAAATTTTGATCATCATTTATTCCTTAAAAGAACAAGATGAAGGCTTTAAATAGCCTCTACAATGACTTAAAACAAAAGAACTCAAATACCCTCAAGGGACTACATGACTCAATCCCTCAAGCAAGGGTAAAAAGGGAAAATGCTTAAATAAAAAAAAAAATACATCAATAAGTAGACAATAATAAAATCAAAAGTACATCGGATAAATCGTGGCCGTTGATCTACGGCCACGTCGACGATAGACTTTCCAACTGATGTCCCCATCACAAATAGCCAGACGGAGCTATTTAAACCTCAATTACAATTATGTGTACATTTTTCTATTGTTAACATCAATATATCAAAAGAGCCACTAAATCACAAAAATTCATTCTATCCCAAATGATAATAATTTTAATGTTTTTTACTTTTCTCTTATAGTGCCACATCTATGATAAACCTATTTTCTTCTTTCACTTGTTTAATTCTTGATATTTTACCCTAAAAACATTAATAGTATAATGATGAGTTACAATAACTAAGTGGATGCATCATATCTCTAAATTACAATGATATAATGGAATTCAAAAATCAATATTTATACTTGCCATAATAAATAAACAAATGCAAATTATCTAATAATTTCTTTTATTTAAAGATGACAATGTGAAAAGTTTTAAAACATTGATTTGTATATAATTATATCATGTTATACTTTTATCTCATTTTTGTATACTAAAACCATCATAGGAGCACATTCTAAATTGCACCGTTTAAGGTACTTAAATTTTCATTCCTTTTTCTAAATAAAATATTTTCTATTTTACGTGCGGGTAGCTTAGTGTCCTTAACTAGTGTCATAAGAGGGTGAAATCCATCCATCAACATGCACATATAAACCCCTCTATGTAGTTCATTTTTTTCATATCATTCATAATCTTTAAGTAGTAAGCAGTATATGGTATTATTAATTATAGCATAACATGATAACCATCATCCATTTCAATATAACCAATAAATTTTAATCGTAAAGATAAATCATAATTGGATTGGCAATAACAATTGTTTAAATAAGTATCAATATTATTTAATCAATATCAATATTATTTAATAAAATTGTTTAAATCGGATTTTCCTATCCAATTATAGCTTTTTTTCTAAACCAAATGTATTAAACAATATTGAAGAGCCTCAACGATAGGCTAATCCAATCCTCTATAATATCTCATAAGGGCCAAAGTACCTCGGAGCCAGCTTCTCACTCCTCCTATTAGCTACCTTCCTTTGTTTGTAGAGATGAAGCTTCAAGTATATTTTATCCCCTATCTCAAATTGGATGCCCTTCCTATGCCCATCCGCCTGCTTTTTTATGATATGTTGAACCCTCAAAATATGTCTTTTCAATTCATCCAAAACCCTATCCGTCTCCTCCAAGTACTGTTCCACTGAAAAAATTGGTTTTACTTTGCCCAAAGTGTACTAAGTAAGGTGGACCTCTACGGTACAACACTTTGAAAGGAGTCATCTAGGAAGCCGAATGATATGAAGTATTGTACCAATACTCTACCCATACTAGTCACTTGGCCCACAATCGATCTATCTCTAAAACAAAACATTGCAGGTACATTTTCAAGCTCCTGTTTATCATGAATTTATAGATGGGTTACCCCAATCTAAGTGGTTTACAGTGATCCTAGTGGTGGTGGTAGTGGACAATTGAGCAAGTATACTTATTTCATTCCTCCCACACTCTGCCTGAAAGAGTTAAGGGTTGTAGTAATCCTCCAAGCATACTTGTCAATGGCGCGCGCCATGGCGCATAGCGTGGCACTGCGCATCTACGGCCCCAACTGCATGGCGCGGTGCACATGTTCAAGTTGGTGCGCGCTGTGGCGCGTATGAAACCCCTCAAATAAAAAGAAAGCTAAACTTTTAAATATTGAGGTGCATTTTGGTGTAATGGTTGGAATTTCATTAAGAATTTCTGTAGTTAAGCGTGCTCATCCCAAGTCAATTCTAAGATGAGTGACATACTGGGAAGTTTCGTCAACATGACAAAATTGTGAGGCTTTTAGGTCAATGCAGACAATATCTCGATAGTTAGGAGTTTGAGCTATTAAAAATGGTATCAGAGCAATATACAGCCTGAAGATGGGAACTAAGTGTCACTATGGGAGCCACATCTTGAACCCTATATGAGACAAAGTGTTACATGACGGGAGCCACCACTTGACCTTGTAGGGCCCACCTCTAAAATCCTATATACCTGGTGGATGATTCAGAGGATGTTGTGCATATGGGCTCACCTAAATAATGTTAAACATCCGGGGGTATAGCTTCACTTCCTTAATAGTAAATTTGTGCCATAATACTGCACTATTTATTCATTGGAATGGATATATCTGGTTAAATGTTAAAGCCGTGTCATCTCCAGTTTAAGTTGAGGAAATAAACCGCTAAAGAATATTTCCTCTTGAATCGAGGAGTTTAACTGATACGCTAAAGTGACAGAAAGTACATAAATTGCTTTTATATAAGTCAGCTTTTTTATTTTACTTAGATTTGATATGGAAGAACAGCTGAGATAAAAGGTGGTTATTCACAGTTTGCATGTTGTTGACTTCTAATTTCCCGTTTCCTTATTTGATGCGTAAGTGTTGGTAGGAATTTTCAGAGAAAGCTATGTTCTTTACCTTATATTTTTATTTTTACTATTGCATGTTCCTTGCAGGTTCTGCTCAAGAACCTACCACCAAATAGCTCTGTCATAAATGAAATTATGGAAAATGTAAAGAGCTTTCTCGTCAACAAAGCTTTGTTGAAGGGAAACAGTTCAGCGTCTTCTCGTCCTTTGCGCCATCTACGTAGTGAAAACGTGAGTGATTTCTTTTGCTCTTTTTCTCTTTAACTTTAATTTCTTGTCTGCATAGGAAGGAGCAGAAAATAGGTGGCTGATTGCTAGAAAATGCTATAAACATATTAATTGTCCCTTGCAAAATTCTATACCCAATCATATTCCAAAATTTTTCATTTAGAAGTTTGATAGTCACTTTGACGGGACAACAACTATAGGTTGAGAATATAGTGATGTTGCCAGTATTTCATACAAGAGTAATCGACATAGCTATGCCACATAGATATTGAGACATTGGAAGAATATGTTTAAACCTTTTTTGAGCGAAGTAAATGTTGTACAGATGTTGAAGGTATTTAGTGGTGTTGTAGGAATGAATGAGGTATGGATAATCAAACCCTTACTGTGCATTTTTTACAGAGAGAAGAAACATAGGGCTAACAGCAACCACTCCATCAAATTTGTTAAACTTGAACAGAGCTATCCTGGTATTGACAATATTCTGACCAGTAGAGGTTGTAAAAATGTTAGTATTTTGAGGTAAGTTCAAAATCCACGAGTTCGGTAGCATGTTAGCAGATGGTTTAAAGCCAAATATGCTCTAATTTAGTTGCCTATGTTATGATGCATTTTTACTAATTTAGGTTAATGAAATTAGTATGTTAGGTGTTGTGAAATGGACTGGAGTAGTTTCTTTCCAGCTGTCCTGGAATATCTTAGTTATCATCTGGTTTTGCTAGGCTTGCCTTATATCCATGATCATCATAAAACCGTATCTTGAGTGATTTCTGATGTGAAACGTACAGGCAAGGATGAGTAAATTAAGGAGTTTGCACGCTTAATATTTAGAGCACAATAATTAAATCTTTAAAGTGATTTCAAACGACTAAGTAAAACCAAAGAGCGGTAAAATAAAAGCTTAGGCCGAATCACATGCGTAAAAGTGGAGATCAGAAAACAATCAAGTTAATCTAATGTTTCATACACTGATTCGGAAGCGACACATCCACTCGATAGAGTAATCAATAAAAAAGATAATGAAACAAAAAAAAAAAAAACAACTTACACTCTTTATGTTCTTTCTAATTTTGATTCCTCGCTCCCTCTCCAACCCCGACATCTACACCACCGCTATGCTCGTTTGAATGAGCCAAACCCACCCATGACCACCTTCGTCTCCCATGCGAGCTCTGCGCGAGTTGCCTGCCACCGTTAGAACACATCACCCCTGATCCATGTGCCTCTGACCCACGTGAATCCACACCGCATGCTTGCCTTCAGCCTCCACATACCAAATCCAACCACGCCTCCTTCCGATTCAGCATATCCCAACCGAGCGCATGCACCCCACACGTCCGACACCCCCACACCAGATCGATCTCGCGTGTCCGACACCTCCGTGTGCGAAATCTTCTGTCTCCAGCGCTTGCAACCCGACACCCCATCCTATATGGACCCGCGTACATGACTCTTCCGTGCGCAAGCTCGAGCCAAATCCTGCGCCCGTACTAATTCATACTACTCCGTTTTGGCTTATTTCATTTCTGGCTCTCATATACAAAAGTCTTTCTTAAAAGACTTCTTCATCTCTTACTCTTGTAAAATACCCAGCATGTTTACAACTACCCGTAAGCATAAGAATTGACAGGAATATAATAGATGTAAACCACAAACCACCTTTATCTCTTACTCTTGTAAAATCAAATATTGCGTATTCTAATTGATGTAAACCCTAAACCATCTTTTAAAAATCCAACCCACATCTAACTACCTCAGTTTACCCGGGATTCCTGAGAGGAGGCAACTTATGACTGCTAATCAGATTATCTTGACATTACGATCAATGATCACTAATATTAGTAGACCGAACCCTATGATATTCTCGGGATGATGGAACTATGGGATCTTGATCAGAATTACCTCTATTTCCCCAATAAATGAGACTGAAACACCTAGAATTATTTATCCTTAATCGAAAGTTCTCTCTTACGCAATAAGAGAGGTAATTAACTAGGAGAGCTTGTGCTCATAGGAAGTAAGGACCCAGATCTAACTAAAGCATGATACTACCCTCAGGGGAAATCTAGTCAACTACAATCTGTCTCAAGGAGAATGTAATCCTATGTTTGCAAAGTGATATTCATTCCGAAGCGTCATTTTTCTTGTGCCAATAGCAATACAGCTTTCAAAATATGCAACGGTAGGATGCTCCTACTTGGTTCTTTATGAGGGTTGAAGAAAATATTTAATTGTCATTATTTTATTCTCCAACCAATAGTTCCTACAACCAACCTATGATTAGGGGTATAAATTTGACTATAAGTTCGAAGATCGCTAAAGGATTAGGTTGATTTTTTGCATAAATTGGATAAGAATGAGTGAAACATAGCTATCAAGCATAAATTGAACAAAGCCTACATTGGATCGAACTAGCTCATGATCAAATAAAAATGTACATCCATCTATGTGTGAATGCATAGAAACATATTGATGCATGCATTCAAATTTGTTTTAATGTATATGTATATTATTCCTATATTTATATTAATCTATATTCTATTTTTACATGAGTGTACGTATCTATGTTAGAAATTTGATTAAAATCTAACCAATTTTTTTGCTTGAACATCAACTTGGCAATGTCTACCGAAATCAGATCAAGTCATCCCATAATCAAATTTGAATCTAATAACTTAAGTTGATCTTCAGCTTGAGATCAGATTAACAGCCCTACCTCTCACATTTTCCTACTTTCTGCAGAAGAACTCAAGAAAATCATGGGCTCTTTATAGATAATGATTAAAGTATTCATGATCTCCAAATAATACAAATAATTATTAAAACTAAGGCGAAAAAGAAAATTGACCGTATCACAAAATAATCTCAGAAGCAAGCTATTCATCAAGAGAGATTATTTTGTGCGGATACTGGATGGGGGAACCGTCCGGTATTGAGTTGTACCGAGCGCGATATATTTTTGTGGTAACGTTGCGCATTTTAATTGGTCTTTGTATGACGTCCGGACTCCGCACATAATAATTTGTTCTTCATCAGCTACATTTTATGAAGCTAAACCTGACCTGCTTTCATCCAACTTGTTCAGGATTGGAAGCTTGGTCCGACAGTGCTGACACTCTGTGAGCATCTATTCGTTAGTTTTACGATTCGCATGCTGCGGAATCAAGCCAACAAGTTCATTATCGGCTTTAAATGGAAAGGAAGAGAAGAAGCCATAGCTGAAGGTGGGAAATCTCAAAATGAGAAAGAACAAAAGAAGCCTAGTAGGAGTTGGGCTGTTGGTAAATTTTTTCTCTCTGGTATGATTGCTTATATAGATGGGAGGCTGTGTCGCCACATACCCAATCCATTAGCAAGACGAATTGTGAGTGGATTCCTGCTCAGTTTTCTTGATAAAAGTGATGGACAATGAAGTTTTGTAACTCTTATGTTTCGTTTGGAACGGCTTTTTTATTGTTTTTTAAAGCAGTTTTTTAATAGAAAATTTAAAAATTTTGTACTATGAATCTGCTTTAAGAAGTAGAAAGAAAAGCCGTACCAAATGAAGCCTTAGGAGAGGAATAGAAAGCATCTGCTGCAGTTAGTATAGCCTCGTGGTTTGGTTTCTCCCAACAAATTTGGGTGAATTTAGGTTGCAAGTGAAAATAAATTTAGTTTGTATTTCTTATTTGTATTATTTAATAAGCTTGAATAAAATTTTGAAAGTTAAATATATATAAGAATAAGATGTATATGCATGAACATGTTTATTTATTTTTTAATTACAAGTTTGTTAAAAATGATTTAATTGTTTATTTGATAATATTATTGTATCAATAACTTACACATTTTATAAGTATTTTACTATTTGTAGTATGGATATGTTGAATTAGGTTTGCAAATTAAAATGTGTTTGTTAAAATTTTGAGTTCTTCTAATAATTTAAATTATATTTAATGAATTTTCTATTTTAATCAATTTTTATAAATATAGTTATGATTGGTAGTAAGGTTATATGTTTAAACTATGTGCATTATATATATATATATATATATATATTTTTTAATTAGATCGTGTTGAATCATCTTAATTAATCATTCCTAAATTTTAATGAGCGTAAATAAACTTTAATTAATGTATAAGTTATGATATTTATTTTAGTTATTTATGAGTTAGTTATACATAAATGCTAAGAAAATTTTAATAATTTAATTTAATTTCTTATTGGACTAAATAACTTATAACAGCCAATAAATTTAGCAAATGAATTAACTATTTAATTATCTTAAGCTTATAAATCTTATTTCAATAATAATAAAAAATATTAAATAGAAATTTATATGTACTTAATCTTTAATTAGATTAAGTAAATAATCACTTTCAAATTAGTATAAATAATCAATCAAATAATTAGTTACACTAACTCTAATTATTGTGATAGAATAATAATATTGACATCTAACTATCATCAATAAAGCTATTATTAATTTTTTATTAGTTAAATTTTTTTTTAAGAATTATTTTACTTAATTATGAATTTATTGTATGGAACCGTAATTATTAAAAATTTTAAATATTTATAAATTTTAGTCAATTTTAATTATAAAACGATTGATAAATTTCTAAATAGTAAAGTTAATATCAAATTAGCAAATCATTTCATAATTTAGAATTTATTTGTGATGGTTGTAATATTTTGTAAAATTGATCATAAAATTATTGTGGGAAAAATAGTTTCTTAAAAGCAGCTGCATAAATCAATATTTTAGTACAAATTTTTTTAAACATTAAAAAATAATAGCTAATTAAAATTATAATTTAAATATGAAAAATAAAATAATAAAAAATGTATATTCCAAATTAAGAGAATTCTTTTGAGATAGCTTTCTTACTACTTTTTTAAAATAATTTTTTAATAAAAAAATATTTTGAAATAAAAATTTTGCACTAAGCAATTAAAAAGTTATCTCAAATAAAGTCTCAGGGTTCTTTGTTTGAGATAATTTTTTCAAAAATATTTTTCTAGATGAAAAATTTTATAAATAAAAGATTTTTATAATAACAATTTATTTTAAAAAGATAGTAAGAAAGCTGTGTTTGATTCTTAGCTCCATAGTAATTTATGTTGCGTAATGACTGATAAAACTTTTTTTTTTTTTTTTGGAAGTTAAGGCAAGCCCCAATTCCATTAAAGTAAAACTAGTTGCATGTGTTAAAGAAGAGTATAAAACAAAAAAAGAGAAAAAACACTTTAGACCACATGACCTCCAGCGCCAAAGAACACATGACAAAGAATCAATACACAATAAATAGAAGATTGCTTAAGAGAAACGAACAGGGTCAGGGAAATTTGATTGCATACGTTGATCAGCATCACCCCCGATTGCGGAGAGACTACCTTCAAGAAAAATTAGGTTGCAAGAGGCTCCATCAGGTGAAGCAATATGCAACGATCATCATTGCCCTCAAAAACCGCAAAAAAAATTCCCAGAACCTCTAGAAGAAGGCCAGAAATTTGAGTGATGAAAACAGGCAGAGCGGAAGCCAAGCTAACAAGAACCACAATCTCAAAAAAACAACCACCCAGACAGAGTGATTCCAAGCCCAAAAAGAATGCCCCATTATAACATATCCAACATTTTGAAACCATGCGTTCCTTTTATTAAACTTTTGAAAAGACAGCTTTTTTATCTTTAAGCAAATCTAGTGCAGTTCTGGAGGCAGGTTTGATAAAATCTCCTTCATCCTTTCTCTCCACACAAATAAATGGTACACATCATTGATGAAGATTTATAGAACCTTTTTCGTTAGTAAAGAGATACTGGGACAATCATGTACTCTAATCATAAAGCTGTAGCAAATTCGGTTCTAGAGGATAAAGAGCAAGCGGGAATCAAATTGTGTATTGAGTAGTGCAACTTCAGTTTTGTCTTTGAATATAATAAATTATAGTGTGAAGTAACTGTAATTTATTATTTGCAGAGATAAATTGGAATTCTCTATGTTTGAACTCTTTCACAGAGACAAACTGAATTCTCTATTTTTGAACTCAGCTAATAATCTCTCCCTTCAGAAACCTTGTTCAGAATTCCTGAGGCGCCCACCGTTTTTTTTTTTTTTATCCAACCAACTCTACCGTACTGCTTGTTACAGAAAATTTGATAAGCCAATCAATTGTAAGGTCTACATCAATTATTAAATAAGTCTCTAAGTTTTTAATTAATTTTTTCTATCTCTATCTCTTATATATATATTATTAATATATATATATATATATATATTATATTAATTATCAGTAATATGTACAATGATGTAAATTAGTAATTAAATATTTGTTGTCCTGGAATATTCGCAGGCGTTAGAGAAATATTATATTTACGTCTTAGCATTGTACGAAGATTCCAGCCACAACAGATAAGTGATAGGTTAGCGTCATAAGAGCACAAAAGTTTTAGGAAGACCCTGAAAAAAGGGAAAAACCACGGGGCCTGGCCGGTTTGATGAATCCACTAGTATTGTGAGTCGATTAAAAATGAGCCCTTCTTAGGAGAAGCTTGTATTGATGTAGCAATACATGCATATGAGATTGCATTACAGTGGTAAGATTACATATACAGGTTTGTTTTGGCCTGAGGACCGTGGTCGGTGGGGACCAGTCGGCCAGGAGACCGGAGGTCAGAAAGACGTGCTGTTGATGAGGTCGGAAGGACCATAGTAGGCGACAAAGCCTGAAACAGTCGTGGCAGAGACCGTTGTCGCAGACGTAGCTCGGCGGAGACCGTATGCGTGATGGGCAGGGAGGCCGTAGTGGCGACAGGTGTCAGTAGGACGTAGTGCGGTAGGAGTAAGGAGTAAGGTGTTAGTCCGCAGTCACTTGGAAGATCAGGAAGTTGATGTGTCTGGCTTGAGTAGGACGTCGGGTCTTAAGCAGGACGTCAGTCTTCAGCAGGACGTCGGGTCTTCAGCAGGACGTCGGGACTTAACTTCGGCTTGAACAAGACGTCGGCTCTTTGGCGAGTGTAGGGACTGAGTGTCGGCTTGAACAAGACGTCGGGTCTTGGCAGGACGTTCAGGAGAACGTCGGGCTCTAAGGTGGTGATCCGGCGAGGTTTGTGGTGGTCCGGCGGAGGTTCTCGGCGTCCGACGGTGGTCCGACGAGATTCCTGCGGTGTCCGGCGAGTTCTGCGGTTGGTCCGGTTCGGTGGTCCAGGCGGGCTGTCGAGGAGGAAACACCTTCCTCTCTCTTCTTTTCTTCTCTCTCTTGCTTGGATCCCGTTCTGTGAGAATGAGGCTCTATTTATAGAGTTTTTTAGAGTGCATGGCCCGTAAATAGGTTGTGAGATCAGGGGCGAAAGTAGAGTGGTCAAATGGACGGCGATATTGAATCCTACGATCGTGCACCGTTCATTGGACATTTGAAGGCCTTTAGTGAGGTCGGAATTCTGTGACTTGTGCTTCGTGGAATCGTTCTCGTCGAGCCCTTCGATTCGAGTATAAGCTCGTCAAAATCGGAGTCCGTTTGGTAACTCAAATTTGCGGTTTGAACCTTCCAACAGTGCTTCGAATCCATGATTTGACCCATTTGACTCAGATTGGGTCGAATTGTGTGTCTTGAGATTCGATTTCCGAGACGCTCAGTTTGACTGTAAGCTCGCTGAAATCGGAGTTTCAGTGCTCCCGGATTTAATTTTTGAAGTTTCCAACTGTTTTTGCTCTCGAGATTCGTGCCCGATCAAGTAATTTTTCGCTATGACGTATCAGTTGCCCCCTATTTTCGGACGCGAAGCTCCAGAAGTCCGAAAATACTTGTTTCGAAAATTTTGAACATTGGTGAATCGCAAAAATTGCGTTCCAAAAGTTAAATGCTTGCTCAAACTTGGATCGTTAGAGGACTCTGTTGAGCTATCGAAAGTGTCAAATCAAGTCTGCGGAACGTCGAAGAAACGTGTTCCCGGGGATCCCAAAAAGTCCGAATCGGACGTCCGGCCGAAAATTGGGCCCGGATACCGTAAGCGACACGAATCAGCTCGGCCGGCCGGCCGCCGCGCGCCGCAGGCCGGCGCCGTCCAGCGCGTGGCGCGCGCAACAGTGGCGCACTGCTTGGCTAGTTCCGCTGCGGTTATATCTTTTGTTTTTTTTTTTTTTTTTCTTTAATTCGTTGGCGGGGCCGCAAAATATTTCAAAAATTCCCCAAAAATTCCAAAAACGAAAAATTCAGAAATTCCAGAAAATTCCGAAAAATTTAGGAAAATTTAAAAATCTAGAAAACTTCCCACCATCTCCAAAACTCTATAAATAGACCTCCAAGGCCTTTAGAAAAATTGTCTCTTTCGTTCTTCTTTTTCTACTTTTCTGTTCTTACCTTTTTTTTTTCTTCTTCTTTTCTTTTTTCTTTCTTCTTCTCCCTCTGTCTTCTATTGAGCCTTCCTCGATTTTTCGAGGCCCTCTTTGCAAAGGAAGTTTGGAGATTTCCCCCTCCTTCTCTTCTTCTTCCTCTGTCCTTTCTATTGAGGGCCTTCCCTCGATTTTTCGAGGCCCTCTCTTGGCAAGGTAAGTTGGAGATTTCCCTCTTTCTCTCTTCCCTCTGTCCTTTCTATTGATCCTTCCCTCGATTTTTCAGAGCACCTCTCTTCGGCAAGAAGATCAGAGATTCCCCTCCTTCTCTTCTCCCTCTGTCCTTTCTATTGAGCCTTCCTCCTCATTTTCGAGGCCCTCTCTTGGCAAGGAAGTTCGGGAGATTTCCCCCTTCTCC